TACTCTTTTTCACTGTGAGCTACTACAAGATCTCAAATATATTTTCCTGTGCCATACACTATAAACTTGTTTATCCATTTTATATATACCTGTCAGTATCTACAGATCTCAAACTCCCAGTTTATCCCGTCAAGTCACCTTTTAACCTGTGGGAATTTTAAGGTAGTTAAAACATAGTTTGGAAGAGACATGCTTTTTAGCAAAGTGATTATTTTGAAAATGTTTATGATAAAACTGGAAATAAAGTATTTTTAAAGCCCTGTATTATTCGCCAGATTAAAAATAAATAAATAAATAAATAAATAAATATATTTTGTATCTGGTAATTAAAATTAACTGAGTTAAAAACTAATATGATTAGAGTTCTAGCAATAATAGAAGGAATTTATATCATATATGGAAAATGTGGTGAATTTGTCTTAGTCACGATTTGGTTGAGATATCCAATTATTTTGGTCTAAAGAACTATAGGTCCATTCTAGAATCTAAGGAATTGCCTCTTGAATCTTACTTAAATAAGGATGATCATTATTACAGGTTTCCAAACTAATCATCTTTCTGTAAAGTGGCTTATGTTATTAAAAGAGAAATCAGTCTCATATTTCATGTAGTATTTTAGGTGCACCTGGAGAAGTTAGTATGTATAGGACAGATATAGGGAAGAGCAATTGACCTGAGGCATATTATCAATCACCCATCAGCCTGCACTGTCTTTGGCTGATTTTTCTCTGGCATTCCATGTACTGGAAATAGTCAATACAGACTTACAAGGCAATTAAAAAAACAGTCTTAAAAATACAAGTTAATCTATCTCTGTCATATGGAACTCTCACATATGGATGTGAGAAATGCTAATTCTTTACCAAGTTTCGTGGCTACCAAGATTTCCTTTGAGTGTGGGTGATGAGAAGGAGTATGCTGAAAATACCTACAATTCCATCTTCACTATGATTCCTTGTTGATTTACTATCCACTTGGTTAACCTATTCACTGTGTGTTCTAGAAATTTCACAATTTACTTGGCAAATACTATGTTCATATATGTAATATATTTGTCTTTTTTTCTGAGCTCTTTAAGGGACATGTGTTCTATTTCTTACACTTTTATTCTACATTAACAGAAGCTAGGATCTTTTACTTAAAAGAGGAATATAAAATGTTTCATACAATTTTCACTTATATACACTGCTTTATTTGCTAATTGCTTTACACTTGAAAGTTCTGTCTCACCGCCTAGATTTTAAGCACCTTGTTGGTTTTTGTTTGTTGTATAATGATGGTATAGCAGTTTGGGTCTCTTATTACTGTTTAGCACAGTGTAGAGATTGAGTAGCTTCTCAATAAATAGTGCTGATTAGTCAAACATGGTGGAGGATAAGGGAGAAGAAGGAGAAGGGCGATAGCTTCTGGATTAATTTGTAGCCTCTGAAATTCATACCATTATTTCACAGCCAAATTATATGTTCTTTTCAGTACGTAGCACATCATTAAGACTTGATAACTAAAGCTCCATACTATTATTTAATGAAGAGAAATAAAAATATGGTGCTGGCAATAAAAACTATTCTATTGTTACCTCCTTACCTCCTGGTTAGTGAGCAAATGCTATAAACTCAAGATGGGAAGTAGTTTAAATTTGAGAGATTTGGATCATTTTCCTGGCTAAGTCAAGAGACCATTTGTTTCCTTTAGGCAATCTAAAAGTTGTTAAAGGATTGGAACCTAGAAAATTCCAGCATTGCTCTGTGTAAGATAGATAATCAAATAGAGCTGGGGACAGGATTAAACCACCCACCTCCTCAGAGTGTCTACCTAACTTCACGTCTACAACCATTCCATTATTTTAATTTCAAGAACCAATAGATATAAATAGGGATTATGAGATATTTTCTGGAGGAAAAATACAGTATAATTATTTTAGTTGATGAGTTGATATGGATGGATATAAATGAAAGAATAGTGTCTCAAAACTAAAATGGAATGCCAAAAAGGATAAGAATAAAATAATATCATTAAAACCTGTATCATTTTATTCCTATTCTTTTGCTGATAAGAATTAGAGATGCCTTTCTTATCTATTTCAGAACCTTGTGTGTCTCCTATTGTCTATTTAAATGGTTCTACACACAACCTATCCACTGTCAGGCCCATCAGAGGAGATGGAGCAGAGATCTACAGGCACATTTTAAAGCCAGGAAGGATGAAAAGTTAAGAGATTCAGGGAAGTGAGTAAAGCAATGGAGATGGAATGATTAGTAGAGAACAGAACTATCAGGAAGACAGGAATCCTATTAGACAAAATCACAACTGCTATTTGATATTATAGATCAGGATGGGTAGGATCTGAAACGTGTCACAGCATTAACAATCAGCATTATAGAAAGAAACAAAGATGGGTACTTGTCAAAATGGTGAGGTCAGATTTCCTTTATTCATAACTACTGTGATAGAGGAGAGACCTCAGTGTAACCTGAGTTTAACTCCACTGAAACAGAAGGTAGGACGGTTTAAATATTGGGTGTGTTAGACAAAAGGCACTGGAGGGTGTTAAGGAGGAATTTGGTCTTTATGACCCTGGGGTTTGCTAATTGGCACTTATCTGGGGAAGAAACAAACTTCCCGTGTCTTTAAGACAGTAGATAGTGGTGCAAGTTGGAGTGTTGAGGTATAGATAACTGATGTGAGAAAGACTGAAAAAACTGTCATTCAAGTGTTCTTCTCATTGGATTTAAGCTGCTTCCCAGCCCAGTATATGCCCTCATGTTGTCTCAGAAGAGTTATAGCCAGGAAGAGATGGTAAAAATAATTGTGAGACTTCTAGCTCCCCCAACTCCTAGTCATTTCCAGAAGACCCAGGGGAAGTAACTGGTGATGGAGATCCCTCTAGCTAACAAAACCTTTGTTACACTGTATTAGCCTTGTGATAGTCTTCCAGCATTGTGGAAGGTGGCAAGAAAAATGCCAAAACTAGCTCTCAAAAATAAGTTGGGCAAAATTGTATATGGTCCAGGTTTATCTTAATAATACAATACTCTAAATACCCTTTTACCTTTGCTGATGCCCTCATCCTGCCATAGCAACCACATCCCCTAACAGGCCATTCCAACTCACTTTCCTTTCCACATGTGAGTTGGAAGAGATGGAAGATACTGATCTAGGGGCTAACACACAGCAATTTGGGCAAATTCTTGGGTAGAATGTGTCCCACTATCTGAGACCGAACTCAATCCATACACATTTCCTGTCAATCCTGATTATTTTTTTTCCCTCCATAGGCTTTCTCCTTCATCTAGAAATCTGTGTGTCATCTACATAGACTTGCCCCACCTGTATAGCCCAAGTTTTCTTCTTTTTATCTGTGGTGGTGAGCAATAGAAGTAATATAAAAATATATATATTTTTTTCAAAAATGAGTGCAGTGTGAGGTGTATAGTAGCCACTGCTATTATAATTACATTATTACTTTTCTATAAATAATCAAATTCTAATTATCGATAATAATGGCTCCCATAAAAAATGCTTATATGTGCAACAAGAACCAATTCTTATGTTTTGGGGGGCAAAATGCATTAATTTAGGAAACTTTAATCTAATATTATGCTTCAAGATAATTACTTGACTTCAGTTATGGCCAAATCTGTTCTGCTGGAGTGCCTTTCTTTCCTGTAATGTTAATGTGAAGACTTTAATTTATTTTTAATTAAAGTAAGAAGTTATATATATATATCTATCTATATATATATATATATACCTATATAGATAGATATATAGATTATATTACCTATATAGATAGATATATAGATATACTTTAGTAACTAAAGAAATGACTGAACAGATTCACAGGTGCAGGTAGAAGTGAGTTTATCACAAGCTCTCAGATATGTGGTTAAAATACGTAGGATTGTTTGAAAAGTTGTGAACAGCCCCAAATATCGATCCTTAGAGGCCCTGTTGGGAAAATATGGTAAATCTATTCAATAGATACAACATAGTCTTAAAATTCATGGTAGGTCTATTATTTTTGAAAATGGAAACATGTTATGATACATTGTTAAGTAAAATAAGTAGCTTTAAAGTTAACAAGAACTCTGAAATTTAGTTGTTAAAATATACATATATATTATACACACAGACACGTGACCATATATATACACACATTTAAATGACTGCTCATGCATAGATTGATTTGCCTAGCCAAAAGTCTGAGGATGATTTGTGATTTTGTGTGAATTTCACTCTTCTGTAATTATTTTTCTACTAAAAAAAATCTATGCTAATAGTGTAAGAATCAAAATAAAAAGAATGAGGAACATAAAATGACAATTCCCTTTTCTCAGCTGCTACAGCATCAAAACCTTGGGCAAGCACACTGGTCCCTCTCCTGGTTCAGGGCCAGATCAACCCTATATCTAATCCTGAGAACTGAAGAAACTAATAGTGCCTGATGCTAGAAGTTTGGGAACAAGAATTTGCTGGCACAAACTCACCACGGTGGCTTGCTCAGGGAACCAAGTTAACAAAGGGTTCAAAGCAACACTGGAAGGACTCTTAACTAGGTACCCAAATTCAGGTCCTCAAAAGAGAGGGACAATCAATACTGGCCTCCAACTTGGAGAGCGAATGGGCCCTGCAAAAGGAGGACGGTCACCCTAAGATGAAGGAAAGAGTGAAGGTTAGTGCTGTGTTTTGCTTTGGAACACAACTTTGGTGTTGCTGGAAAACAAACACTATTACCATGAGTAGCTTTCCCCTCCCTTTGTAAGGCATTACCTAGGTGTCCAACAGGGGGGGCTGTAACTCGGAAACAGTGAGATTCATGGGAAGGACTGTATTCCAGAAAAGCTGCAGACCTTGAGGGATGGGTAGGTTATCTGCACTCTTTTATTTTTTTTTTTTTAAGGATGATTTACAATATTGTGTTAGCTTTTGATGTACAGCATAGTGATTCAATTTTTTTGCAGATTATATTCCATTATAGGTTATGTATAAATTCTTTTCTAAATTCTTTGCCATTATAGTTTATTACAAGATATTAAATATAGTTCCCTGTGCTATACAGTAGGACCGTGTTGTTTATCTATTTTGTAAATAGTAGTTTGTATATGCAAATCTCAGGATCCTAATTTATACCCCTGGTGCCCCCACACTCTTGAAAGTGAACAGAAAGAGTGGTCATCGGATCACCTGGAGGACTTGCATGTGAGGTGTGGGGACTTCTGTTTTCTGGTTTTTGTTTTAACCATTTTGGCCCAAAGATGAGTGGTCAGTTTGAAGAGTCTCAATTCCATGGAGGGAAAAAGGAGTGTGTAGAGCATCCCCAGGGACACAGTTCAAGCCAGAGTCCAGGGTAACGCAGGTGGTGTTTGCACTCCAGATTCTCTGTGACCTGGATTCTTGATCTTTGCAGCGTTTGGTTTGTTCTGAAGAAACAAGGCTAAGATAAATAAGGTCAGCGACACAGCACAATTCTGCCCAAAGCATGCCTACTTATTTTCCTGCTTTCTTTTTTCTATTACACTGTCAGCTTTTTAAGGAATAGTTCACCATTGCATCCTTCAGGCCTGGCACAAAGGTGTATAATAAATAGTCATTGAATGAATAAATAAGGAAAGTAGATGATATTTACTGGTATCTTACCTGTAGAAATCCGGCCTCATATTACAGGTACACAGCAGCACTGTTTTTACCAAGTTGTTATTACCATTTGTATTCAAAAGTAGCAAGCTTTATTTTCTTGGAAACATACTCTTTAATGATGGAATTTTCATTTATTCAGCCTAGTTCCAGCTCTCTCCCTCTTCCTCTCTCTTTCCCTGTCTCCCAAGTCCTGTGTATCACAATTCCCTGGGAAGATGGTTAAAACGGCACAATCCTGGGCGTCATCGTCATCTGTGAATCTAGGATCTTAGCACCTGCGTTTTTAATGACTTTGCAGGTGATTTCTCATGGATCCTGCTAATCTCTTCAGTGATATTCAAATAACAGTTTGCATGTATCAGTCTGAAAATGTAAGGTATCATCTAGTAACTTTTTTTAAAACAATTTTTCTCTCCTGAAGATGGTAAAATAAAATAGAGAAGTGAAGGGTAAGGGTGGTAGGTGTGGGTGGATCAGTAGGAACTCTTTTTTTGTGAGGGTAACTTGATAGTGACTATATGTTGGAGTGAACTGATTCTGTTCGAAGAAGTGTTCCTGCTTCTCTGAGTGTTCCATGAATTTTTTTGGCAGGCTTCTTGCAGTCTGCTGTTTCACAAACCATCAGAGGCATTTAGAAGGGCCAGGGGTCTTTCTATGCATAGGAAGGGTTAAGGACTTTGAATTTCTTGGGTGGAAGTAGTTTTCAGTGAATTGTTTGTTCTTTTGATATAATAAGAGGCAGTACCACTAGAAACTGGCATCTAGTATTCCTGCATATTGTTGTGAAGCTAGGATATTCTTGGATTCTCAATGTATTTTACTAATCAAGGCTTTCATTTGCTAATATGTATTTAATAAATGTCTATTCATTTATCTGTCTTAAGTAGAGAACATTAAAGGATATCTGCAATCACAGATGTTGTCAGGCTAAATTATTTTTAATTAACTGGCTATTGTTATAAAGAATGCTAGGTGATGGCACCATCTTCAAGTACAAAGTAGACACAAGAGAGCGCACATCAAATAAAAGTAGTCAGCAGAACTACCTTCGGACCCATTTCTTCTCTGCTAAAATTGTGAAGGGCTCTCAAACTTTTCAAATGGATTGTACATTGGATGCCAAAGAGGCCGTTAAACCATGGGGTCCTTGGAAATTCCAACAGAAAGTAGAGGGGGTGTGCGAGAGGGGAGCTCCTCTGTGGGGCTTGTGATGGGGTTATGGATGCTGCTTTTTTATTTTAGAGGAAAGCAAACATGCATAAATGGGCAGGTAACTACACAGCTCACCAAACTATTCACACATGCCCACAACTGTATAACTACAAACAGAACATGAATAGCACCCCAGAAAGCCACTCTTTATGCTTTTATTTAGGGACTAATTCTCAAAAGGATAACCATTATCCTGACTTCTAACATAATAGATTAATTTTCCCTTATTTCGTTCTTTTTATAAATGGAGTCGTATAGAATATACCCTTTTGTGACTGGCATCTTTGCTCAAAACAATGTTTTTGAAACCCGTGTATATTTTTGTGTATAGTTGTGGCCCGTTTATTCCCATTGCTGTATAGTTTTATGTTTTATGAAATGCCACAATGTATGGGTCCCTTCAGTTGGGGTTGGATTATTGAATAGTGTCTAAATTTGGACACGTAAAAATACTACTACTCTTCAACTCATTTTATGAGGTCAGTAATTGCCCTGATACCAAAACCAAAGACAGTGCAAAAAAAGAAAGCTACAAATCAATATCTCTCATGAACGCAGACTTAAAATCTACAACAAAATATTAGCAAATTGAATACAAATGTATAAGATGAATTACATAGTGTGAACAAGTCAGATTTATTCCAGGTATAAAAGCCTGGTTCAACACTTGAAAATCAATTAATGTAATCCAGGATACCAAGAGGCTAGAGAAGAAAAATCATATTATCATATAAATTGACCCAGAAAAACAATTTGACAAAATCTAACACCCATATATTGCAAACACTTTCCACAAGTTAAGAATAGAAGGTAATAAATGTGATAAAGAGCAACTACAAAACCCTGCAATTAACATCTTACTTAATGATGAAAGGCTCAGTGCTTTCCCCACAAGACTGGTAATGCAGAAGGAGTATCTATTATTCCTGTGCTTATTCAGTGTAGTATTGGAACTTCTGGCCACTGCTGTAAGGCAGAAACAAACAAAAAAAGCAAACAAAAATAACCACAACAAAAAGGAAAGACTAAAGGGAGGCAAGGAGGAAGGGAGGGAAGAGAAGTCACATAGATTGGAAAGAAAATAAAACTGTCCTTATTTGCAAATAACATGATTCCTTACATAGAAAATATAAGGAGATCTACAAAAAAAAACTTAAAGAACTAATAATTGAGGTCAACAAAATCATGGGATGCAAGATCCTGACATGCAAAAATCTATTTCTATATCATAATAGTGAATATGTGGAAATTGACATTAAATATACCATACTATTTACAATGACGCCAAAGGAAATTAAATATATAGGTGTACACTAAATATGTAGAATCTGTATGCTGAAAGTTACAAAACATTATTGAAAGAAATAAACCTAAATAGAGATATTCACTATATTCCTGGATTGAAGGGCTCAAAAGAAAGATGTCAGTTCTTCCCAAACTAATCTATAGGTTTAATCCAATTTCTATTAAAATCCTAGCAAGTTTTTTTACATATACACGCATTTATTCTAAAATATACATGGAAAGGCATGAGCCCTGGTATAGCTAAAACTGTCTTGAAATAGAAGAATAAAATGTAAGGAGTCACTTTGATGTCAAGGCTTTCTATATAGCTACAGAAATCAAGACAGTGTTGTATTGGTGGAGGGATAAATACATAGATCAATAAAATAGAATAGAAAACCTGGAAAAGAAACCACACAAATACGCCAAACTGATTTTTGATGAAAATACAAAAGGAACTCAATGAAGGAAAGGTAGCCTTTTCAACAAATGGTGCTACAGCAATTGGACATTTATAGAGATAAAAAGAAATGAAGCTCTCCCTAAACCTGTCATCTTTTATAAAAATTAACTCAAAATGGATCATAAACAGAAATATAAAATATGAACTTATATATATAAAACATGAATCTTTCAGGAGGAGAAAAGAGAGAAAATCACTGGGATTTAGGGCAAAGAGTTCTTAGATTTCAGACCAAAAAATGATCCACATAAAGAATCAATGATAAATTGGGCCTCATTAAAATAGAAAAATAAACACAAAAACTTATCTCCCAGAAAGACCCTGGCTTAGAAGATTAAAAAGAGAGGTACACATTATTTACAACAGCCAAGACATGGAACCAACCTAAAGGTCCATCAACAGATGACTGGATAAAGAAGTTGTGGTATGATATATACAGATATAGATATACACAATGAAATACTACTCAGCCGTAAAAAATAACAAAATAATGCTATTTGCAGCAACATGGATGGACCTAGAGATTATCATATGAAGTGAAGTAAGTCAGACAAAGACAAATTTCATTTAATATCACTTATATATGGAATCTAAAAAATTATACAAATGAACTTATTTACAAAACAGAGACTCACAGACATAGAAAACGAACTTACTTATGGTTACCAAAGGGGAAAGGGGGGGAAGGAATAAACTAGGAATTTGGGATTAGCATATTCAAGCTACTATATACAAAGTAGAGAAACAACAAGGTCCTACTGTATAGCACAGGGAACTATATTCAATACCTTGTAAAAACCTATAATGAAAAAGATTATATATATGGATAATTGAGTCACTTTGCAGACACCAGAAATTAACACATTGTAAATCAACTATACTTCAATAGAAAAAAAGGAAGGGAGATGGAGAAATCAGTTAAATGCCTGCTGGGATGTATCTGTATAAAGACATAGATAAAATATGAAAAAAAAAATGACAAGGTTCAGACTTGGGGAAAAAAATCGCAAACCACATATCCAACAAGAGACTAGTATCTCTCCAACATCAAGGTGCAAAATAAACAATTCAGGTCCACAAAAGACATGAAGAAGAATTTTACCCAGGAGTATATGCAGAGAGCAAATAACACATGAGAAAATGTTCAGCATCATTAGCTGTTAGCTAAATGCTAATTAAAACCACAATAAAATATCACCATACATCTACCAGAATGGCTAAGACAAAAATAAAGACAACACCAAATGCTGGTAAGAATGTGGAGAAACTGGATCATTTATATGTTGCTGGTGGGAATGTTAAAAGGTATAGCCACTCTGGAAAATCTCTTGTCAGTTCCTTAAAAAAATTCACAAGCAACTACTATATGCCCTGCAATTGACTCTTGTCCCAGAGAAATCACAACTTATGTTCAGACAAAATTTATACACAAATATTCTAGCAGCTGTATTCATAATAACCCCAAACTGGAAACAACCCAATGTTTTTCAGTGAATAAATGGTTTAACGACTGTAGTACATCCATATGATGGAATA